TTTTCTACCTTTTGTCTGTTTAAAAATTTCGATAATTTAGCCCACTCATTCAGCCTTAAGGAAACGAGGCTCACTTTAGCTGGCTGGCGAAAATGCAAACTGTAATTATGGCATTTTAAACCTCAAACATAGATTTTCCATTTTTCCACCCAATTCTTCCATGTTTCCCTATTTTATTCTTAATATAAAAGTTCTTCAAGTTCTTTTACACAAAATACTTTTAAAAGACATCAATTAAACAAATTTATATATCAATTTATTTCTAATCCATTTCAATTTATATTAATATGCATAGATGATTACTCACACACAAATCAATCCAAACAAACCCATAACATATAAATTAATATCACATAAACCTTAAAATTTATAACAGTTTTATATCAATAAAAAGACCCATACAGCTATACCATGTGGTAACTAGAAATGATGGAGAAACTTACTCAAGAGATAAAGGAAATAGGACCAAATTGTAAGGTAAGATTTGAAGAGGGAGAAGAAAGTGGAAACTTTGTGATTGTTGGGCCCCATGCATTTGGGCTAAAAGAATAGGCACTTTAGGATATAATTATTGGGCTTACAATTAAAATTATTTATGGGCCTCACAATTATATTTTAGAAAATACTAAAATGCATTAAGGTGTTATTATGTAAAGATGCACTTTGCAGCCTCTCCTACAATGTCCCCAGCTTTCTTAAGAGCATCTTATTACCAACATATTCTCAAATAGCAGACTTAACTTCTTCCACTGTAAAAGAAACTTCCAGAGCAGATGAAGAAGAAGGTAATAATTTCTGAAATTCCAAACTCGATCTTGTAAAACATGACAGAAAGCTTGGACATATGCTTTCCATCCACTTTCAAGGAGAAAATAACATTCCTTTTCATCTTTGCAGTGTTTTTGTTTCCAAGTTTGCCACCGTGGTATATCTCCGCTTCTCTCTCCCTATCTCGCATTGAATCTCCACATCACTAAAGCACACTATGTCCATTTGTTTTTCTTTTTCAGGTGAGAAGTGCTCTAGAGAGCCTGGTAATCTCACCGAGTGTATGTCTACTAATATTCTTCCATTTATATTTTCTGTGCTTGCGTATCACTGAATGAGATCTTAATTTGATGTTATCGTGTCTGTGCTTATTTTGCAGCTTTCAGGGCAAGGAGCTCTGACCGCAGAGTTCACTTAAAGGTATTGTGTTTATGATTTAGATGAGTTTTGTTTTCTACGGCCTTTACTTCTTATCTCGAGAACAAAAAAGCTGATTTATTAGTAAAAACCTGATGAAATATTGCCCATGTGAACCGGCCTCTCGTAAACTTCAGGCAAATCAATTTCGTTGTTATTGGGTGAACCTCTGTTTTATTTATTTGTGGCTGAAGGTTCAGTAAACGATGGCACAATTTCTTATTACAATTTTGTTCACATGAATAGGTTTTGATAGATTTAATTAATTAATTAATATATGCGTCTGGCTTATGCTGGTGTTAATTGATTTTTGACCCATTTTTGCTTCTGTGAAGAGTTATTGATGTAGAAGTTAGTGAATTACATGTTTTTGTTCTCACTCCTTCAAGAAAACAAGCTTAACTAATAATGTGGCTTGAGCTTAAATCTATGTCAGGAGCGAGTGATGGGGTGATGAGTGGAGAGAAAGGATAACGAATCTGAGAATTTTGGATAGTGGGCCAAAGATTCCGAAGGTTCCAGAAAAACTTCTTGCTAGTGAAAAGAAGAACCAGAAATGCTACGATCCCTTGGTGGTCTCAATCGGTACTTATCACCGTTCGGATGTGTAAAGAAGCTCAAGAATGGGGAGAGTTTGAAGGATCCAATGACACGCAAGTTTGTCCAAGAAATTGAAAACAACCAAAAATATAAAGAAAAATTATACCAGGAGGTAGAAAAGGTGGCTGGAAAAGTAAGGGGATTCTATGATAGGAGTTTAATAGAAGAGATCAGTGGAGAGGACTTCAAGAAGATGATGGTTGCTTCGTTGTCCAATTCATCCATAGTGTCACAAGCAAGAATGATGATTTGCACATGAGTGCTCAGGATGTTGCTGATGTGAAACGGGACCTATTATTACTGGAGAATCAGCCTCCTTATCCAGTCCTGGATTTGTTGATGAACTTGAGGTTCACAGAAGAAGAAAAGAAGAACTGGATTGATGAATTTCTACAAATTCACAAACCCCATAGATAAAATTATCTTCTTGAACTTAGTTTAGGATTTTTTTTCCAGCTTTATATGATGTGTTCGTACAAGAATACAAGTAGCACAGAAGAGTTTTGCTATTTAGTTGTCGTACTCAATCAATATCACGGTAAAATTAAAAATAAAATATAAATATAAATAAGAAGTCGTTATCTAAATACTAATTGGTTTCAGAGATTTTAAATAAAGATAAAACTTATTAGCGAAAACATTTTAACTAAAATAAATTATTTCTAAGTTTTGAATTTATGATGGTGTACCTATTGGGCTTTCTAATTGTTTGCTAAACCAAACATGAGTAAGTTTAAAGAGTGATTGGGTCAAGGGCTAGCCTTCACGGTAGTTTGGACCAAAAAAGATGATGAATATTGAATTGGGTTTTTAAGCTCATCTCCTTCATTATATTTCAGATTAAGCTCGTATGGTGGCACTCTCTTTTAATGGACTCTTGGGGGCATGTTGATTCAGTGTAAAGAAAGTGTTCAAAAAAAAAAAAAAAATCCTAGCATGCAGTAAGCGAATATTACCATATATGCAAATAGATATTTTTATTATTAAAATTAAATAATAATGTAACTTATTTTAAACAAGATTTTTTTATAATGATTTTCATCTTTCTTTTAATATAACAACTTTTTTACCTAAAAACCTCTTGAATATCAGTTAGAATTTTTAATAACTATAAAATTTAATGACAATTTATTATTTTTATTTTTACTTCCTTTCACGTAATCATGATCATCAAGATGTTCTCTGTAATAGATTTGTAGGTAATTTATCAAATCATGTAATTTTATATATTATTAGCTTGTCTTTATTCTCTTTATATCTTTTCATTTATGCCTCTCAGAAATATTGTCTTAACAAATTAGTATTAGTATTAGAGTTAGGTTTGCACTAACAGAAATAAGTAGATAGTTGTTTACTTGAAGGGGCGCTAACCCTCTGTGACGTTGGGGTGTTGAGTTTGGAAATCAATGCAATGTGTTTCAACGGAGGGTGAAGGAAATTCCAAGAATAATATTGAAATATAAAGGAAAATTTTACCCCTCAAAGTTTATTGGGGTGTCTTAATGTTATCTGAAAATTTCAACTAATTTCATCATGTTTTCAATTTTTCTCGGCTCATTTCCAGTAATCACACTGCAGTTGATGAATAGGCATTCTTTGATGTCTCAATTGACCTTAAGAGGTTTTTTTTTAAAAAACAAATAATTAATTAATTAATAAAAATGCAATCATGTATCCATTCCTTAACCATATTATAATTCATAAAAATTGCCTCCAATTGAAGATAATTAATGTGCAGAAATTAATAAAACATAAAAATTTTTTGTTTGATTTGCTCAAAATTAACTTTGAAAACCCAAAAAAAAAAAGAGAAAAACTAAAGTATAATTCTTGTATTTCCGCCGGTCCACTTCAACAAATTTAAGATGCATACTTTAAAATTGTTCAGTGCTCAAAACTACATTTTATATACGGGTAAGAGTTTGAAATTAAAATGCTTGTTTTTTATTACAGGTTCAAATCATGTAATTGTTAATATTAATAGTCACTAAATATTTATTTATTTGTTAATTTTAGGTTTTATAAAAATTAATCAAAATAAATATAAGCTGATCCAAACATTCCAAATAAATAAAAAAATAAAAGTACGGTAACAAAATACACCACTATGAGTTACCCAAGGTTCTTGCTTGGAGTCGCATACTAAAAAACTTTGTTTATTTGCGATTGTGCTATTTGCTGAATGCTTATGCTAAGGTATGACGTACAAATAACTCTTGATTTCTCAATGGTTGTTGTGCAGCTTGGACCTTATTGAGTACTAACATTCATTCAGAATAGAAACAATCTTTATAAATAATTTTATATTATTCTTTAATAATCTATAATACGTAGCAAAGTCAATCTTTTAAGCTTGTCCTTAAATTCTACCCCAGTCTCTCGACAAGGAATTTATTTCCAAGCTTTTTCTTTAAAAAAGAAATTCGGTCCAAGCTTATCAAGCACAAAATGAAAACAAATGAAAACGCAAGTTGCAGCCTGGTGGGGCTCGACTTCTACTCTTTCTCATCACCAAGACTGGAGAAACAAAAGTTTGTTCTATATATGCTCTTTAATTTTCTTGCACTTTGAGCATGGAACAATCCAATCTTTATCTCCCCTACACGCATTCTCATGTTATTAGTATATATTACTACCTGCAAATATTGAAACATATCTTCTTTAATACTTATCTGAGTTTTGGACTGCGTACATTTGCTTGGGATTTTTTTAATAAATTGTGCACTGGAAAATGGTAGCCAGCCATCATAAATGAGATAACAAAGTAAGAAATTAAGCAGATATATTTCAATTTTGCAAGCAGTATACGTAGTATTTTGACAAAGTAATCACACTAACTAATGACAATTTAATTTCTTCTGGTTTATTCACAGTGCTATCATGCAAACTACCACTTCAATTTGATGTCAAGAAACTTAACCGTTAGGTTTGATGCTACACTGCAAATTTTATTGCTGAAGCTGTCTCCAGTTGAGGAACACGTTTTGGACAAGAGCAAAAACAGTTAAAGCATCAAAGCTCAACTTCCAAGTAAGGTAAGATTCTAGTTCCTAACTTGGTATTTAATAGATCCGTAGTGACCTGTTCATGATATGTATTGGAAGTACAGATAAATTATTTTGTTCACAATATCCTTTGTTCAGTAAATATCTGTACTTCTAATGGGTGAAACACACATTTTAGTCCCGGAAAATAATAATTGGTTGGGATCCATAATGAGAGTTGAGCGGACAGATAGCATGAGCCAGCAGCAAGGGCCTAGAATTCCGAGGGTTCCACAGATATTTAGTGGGATTGAATCGAACAAGAAATGTTACGAACCCATGGTGGTCTCCATAGGTCCTTACTACCACGGGAAGCTTGGGATCCTGGAGATGGAGAAGTCTAAACGCAATATGGCGCGCGCATTTGTGCAACAGAGTGGGAAACACAATATTGAAGAGTTGTACAAAACCGTGGAGGATGTGGCTGAAGTGGCGAGAAGATGCTATGATGAGGATGGATCAGTTATACTCAATGACATGACCGAATTCACCAAGATGATGTTTCTTGATGGTTGCTTTGTTATCCAATTCATGCACTGTCTACTTCGTGACCATCAAAATCTGAAGATGTCTAGTCACTTTGCTGCTTTAGTTGCACGAGACATGTTCTTACTAGAGAACCAACTCCCTTTTCTAGTCCTCAGGTCATTGATGAAGTTGAGATTCGGATCAGATGAAGACGGGATAAAATTGATCAAGGATTTCATTAAGCACATTCGAGCAATGCCCCGTCAACGAGAGTCATGCAGGAAAAAGATATCAAAGTTCTTCTGCAAAACTATTCCGCGAAGAGCAATATCAAACTATTCAGCAAAAGACCCAGAAATGGGAGAGTACTATGGTGCCAGCCATCTCCTTGAACTCTTTCATATGCATTTTGTAACTTTTGTTGATAAGAACGTCACTGTTGATAGTTCACGGACAAGCTTGTATCGTTATCATCCTGCGATGGACCTTAGAAGGGTGGGAATCCATTTCAAGCCTAGCAAAACCAGCCAGTTCACTGATGTCAAGTTCAAACCAACATGGCTAGCTGGGAGACTCCAAATTCCTGCACTAACAATAGACGACTCAACCAAGCCCTTACTCTTAAACTTGGTGGCCTACGAAGCATGCCTCGGTGACAATGACAAACTTTGGGTCACTTCTTACATATGCTTCATGGATTCACTAATTGATCAGCCTGAAGATGTGAGAGTGTTGCGTTCACAGGGTATACTCCTCGTTACCCTCGGAAGTGAAGAAGAAGTCGCGAGACTCTTCAATGAGGTAGCCAATTATTTAGTGCCCAATCCTCTTGCTTTCAACAAAGTCAAAAAGGACATCGAATCACATTGTAGGAACACCTTCAAGCGATGGATCCTTCATTACAAGGGTCCGATTTATACTGTGATTTTTAAGTATTCTTTTATTTTTGGGCTCATAGTAAGTGCCCTTAAGTACGTGAAAGTGTTTCCAGCGGAACCCCTATATGGTGTCTGCAGATTGCCAGTCAATAACAGTACCCTATACCCTTAACTGCAGCGTGCTTGATATGTAGTACTTCTACACCTTTTATATTTCAGCACTATAATTGTCTTGGGAAAGTGAAGCTAGGAATAAAAGATGTGAGAGAGGCCTGTAAGAAATCTTCATAGTTTTCTACCTGGCTATCTGTACCTGGTGCTATTTCTGCTTGTGTGTGTGTTTTTTATTTATTATTATTTTTTTAACGTCTGCCAAGTAATTTTATTTTGTTTTCTTTAAGGTTCTTTTCAATGTTTTCTTAATCAGTATTCCTCCTTAATGTCTATCATTCCTGATACTACACGGACAAACACAAATTTACCTTCAAACTTTCACAGATTTTCAATTAAGGACCTCCATTCATTTTAAGACATTTCATCCACATTTCTATCCAAATCATTTTTTATATATGTAAAACGAAATCATTTTGTAGAAAATTTAACGGTTTTTGTTAAGTAATTCTAACAGGAGTTATAATTGAGTACTCAAAATAAAGGTAAAATTTATACGAAAAATAGTGGATATAAAATTGATAATTTGAGGGTAGCTGTGATGTCTGCCCTAAAATTTCCCAATTTAAATGTCTTGCCTTCGTTCATTCTGAAAAAGGATAAAAACAAATTTCTAAATATCAACAAAAAAATTTTCCATCTCAAGCTTCTTCATTAATTTAAAAAGAAATACAATATATCTCGGCGATAACCTTGTCTCCTAGAGTGCCAAGAAGCAACCTATGGTATCTCGCTCTAGCTTTGAATCTGAGTATCATGCTCTTGCTTCCATTGTTGCCGAGGTTTTATGGTTAAATCATCTCCTGTGTGATTTACACGTCCCTTGTCTAGATCAATCGCTACTTCTTTGTGACAATAAGAGTGCCATCTTTTTAAGCTCCAATTTAGTTTCTCACAAGCGCTCCAAGCACATTGATCTTGACTATCATTTCCTTCGAGAAGTTGAGTTGTGGTCGCTGGTCATATTTGCATTCAACATGTTCCTTTTACTCTTCAAGTTGCAGATGTCTTTACCAAAAATGTTTCCAGGCCACTCTTCACATTTTTTCGCTCTAAGTTATGCATGTGCTCTAATCCCATGCTTAGCTTGCAAGGGGTGTTGGGGATTCTCTAGAATCTCCTTCGAATTCTTAGCTCATAATTATAAGAATGTAATATATTGTATTTATGTTATGATTCTTTCCTCTTAGTAGTCTAGCTACACATGTATACATGCTCTATATAAATGAATCGTATCTCCACCTCAAAGTATGTGGTGGTTTATCAAAACCTTCACAACTAGAAATAGCCAAATTCGACATTCAAAAGGTTCCGCGGATGATTAGTGTGATTGGGGCGAACAAGGATTGCTATGATCCCTTGATGCTCTCCATTGGTCATTTTTTCCATGGAAAGGCAGAGACGAAAGCAATGAAAAATACCAAGCTCATGATGGCCCGCCAGTTTGTTCAACAGAGTGGAGAATTGGATACGATTTGTATGAAAAAATGTAGATTAGTTACATTCAATTTCTTGAAAACTTGGAAATAAACTGTAATTTCATTATTAAAACTGAAACATATGACAATCATAGTTGCCCAGTAGAAAAAGGAAAGAGCACACATCGCTGATCTATTTGCCACATTTTATCCATGGATAAAGTACACGTGGAACATGCTTGCCGATCATATTTATCCCTTCCTTGCAGCATTTCACATTTTAGCTTGGATAAAGTACACGTGGAACTCAAAATAAGCAGTGGACGAATAGATGTGATGGTGCAAAGGGATCTCCAATTACGTCATACATTCCCTGTAAAACAAAAGTTCGAGAAATAACACCAGTAAATAAATCCAATTATTCCTTTAGCTTTAGCCAACAATATTAAGCTCTACTTCCAAGCAAGCTAAAATATTCCAAACCAAAAGCTACTTCAATATTTTGAAGTCCTATATATAATGGACTCGTATCCTTTTATTGATGTGCTTGAAACAAAATAGTTAAAATCTCCTCCTTTAATAGTCTGCACGCACCAATAATGAGTGCGAATCTGCAGGAAATCGTGATCTCAAGCCATGACATAACGATGTCTTCCACCGGGCAAAGCCAGTATGGGTGTCAGGACAGCACGATAGCTGACACAAGAGAAGACATCCACTATGGATTGCTTGACAGCATGATGGCTGCCACCAATGAAGAGATCAATTTTTCCAACCTGCCAAAGTTTCCAAAGGTTCCGTCGACAATTCGTCAAATTAAACAGAACGAGGAATGCTATGATCCATCTCTTGTCTCCATCGGTCCCTATCACCATGGGAAAGATGAACTCAAGGCAATGGAGAAGCTCAAGGTTACATTCGCCCGCCAGTTTGTCAAGGATTGTGTAAATGACTTCAATCAAGAACGGTACAAAGAAAAGTACCAAGAAATGTACCGTAGGGTTGAGCAAGTGGCCAGCAGAGTAAGAAAATACTATATAGAGGATGAATCAAGCCAGCTCAAGAACAAGGAATTTTCCCAGATGATGTTTTTTGATGGTTGTTTCATTCTTCAATTCCTCTTCTGCCTCCTAAAGCAACCTGAGAAACTAAAAATGTCTAGTCACGATGTCGTTTTGGTTGCAAGAGATTTGTTCTTACTAGAGAACCAACTCCCCTTTGAAGTTCTTGATGAATTAACGAGGTTGAGGTTCAGAGGAGAGAAAACAGAATTGTTTGAAGCTTTTTTCAAGCATATTCGTTCAATGCCCACTCAAAGAGAGTCATGCAGGGAAAAGACAAAAAAAAATTTACTAACCATTTCACAAAAATTTTGCAGAATATTGTCAAGTACAAATCCAAAAGGCCAGGAAAGTGAGATGACTCCCCTTCCGAATCCTGCCCATCTTCTAGAACTTTTTCATTTCAAATTTGTTGGAAGCAAAGAGGTCCCCGATGCTAGTACACGGAAAAGCTGGTACAGGGATGATTCTCGTAAGACCTGGTCTGGCCGGTATTTTCCTGCCAAGGAACTTAGGAATGTTGGGATCCATTTCAAACCAAGCAAGACTAGTTTTTTCACCGATGTCGAGTTCAGGAGAACAGTACTCGCCGGAAGACTCTACATTCCTCCACTAAGCATAGATGACTCAACCAAGCCCCTGCTCTTAAACCTCGTAGCCTACGAAGCATGCCTCGGTGACATTGACAAGCTTTGGGTCACTTCTTACATATGCTTCATGGATTCATTGATTGATAACCCCGAAGATGTGAATGAGCTGCGAACAAAAGGCATACTCTACAGTACTCTTGGAAACGACAAACAGGTAGCAGAACTGTTCAATCAGATATCGGATTACTTAGTGCCCAATCCCTATGCTTACGTCCAGGTTAAAAGTGCCATCGAATCGCATTATAGAAACGGGTTCAAGCGATGGATCCTTCATTATAAGGGTCCTATTTATTCCTCCGTTTTAAAGTATTCATTTATATATGGCCTCATAGTAAGTGCCATAAAGGCCTACGTAGTAATAGTTCCCACAAACCCAGATCTCGGTATCTGCAAAATGCCTGCCACAAATGCTGCCCTTAACCCCTAAATACCATATTCGTGAATGAGTGTTTTCTTTCTTTTTTTCATCAACAGAGAGGATCATTTGGCTAGTTGCTATGTGTTGCACCTCTCATGTATTATCCTATCATATGAGTATACGAGGTTTTAAGCAAAACGTTTCTGTGTGTTATGACTTATTTAGAGTTCGTACATTTCTGTCTTCGATGCTCTCCATATTGTTGTTTAACCTGTTTGCGTTTTTGTTTGGTTAAGTACTTATAATTATTGTTAGTTATTAAAAATCAGTGTCCAAATTATTAAATATATTAGATTTACTTAACATCCACTGCAAGCAAGAAAAAGTTTCACTTTAACTCATTTATTTCTGGCATTATAACAAGTGCCATGTTAAGTCCTATGTAGAAGAATTGCAAATGCAATCTATTTATGGTGCCTGTATATTAATTTTCATAAGTGCACAAGTAAAATTTTAAAATCCAACTAAAAGGTATTGCAAATGCCGAGATCTGGGCTTGTGGAACCAAAATAAAAATCACTACAAAATAAAGTCCCAAAAAGTTGCATTAATTTTTTTTTCAGGCAAAAAAAAAAAACACAAAACATAGGCGTAAATAATGGAATTTGGAGTTGGAAAACAATCCTCAATAAGCATAGCTCTTTTCCCACGACTTGTGCGCAAAATATATCCAAATGGGACCTGATCTACTGTTCCTTACAAGCGTTGATCTATCCTGTCAATATAGTCCATAGCTATCAAATCCGTATTCAGTCTCTTCTGCATCAATTATTATGTTGTTGAATTCTTCGAATACTGTTCTCTAAGAAGTGCTGCCATTATGTTAATCACTTTCCTTTCCTTATAGGAATTAGGAAAATTAGTTTCTTGTTTAATCGATCATCATTATTCATTTTATAGAATGTAATTTTATTTTATTTTCTTGGGATAGTTAGCAATAAGAGGGTTAGTGGCTATTAGTTAGCTGGACATAAACAGGGTTGTTCTGACTTAGTTAACGCCAGAATCCAAATAAGGAGTCGGTTACCACCATAAGCAGAGTCCATTAACTATTGTGCCACCTCTCAAATTTTTCTGGGGTAAACAATTCGACTCCCCATGTTCAAATCGTGGATGGAACCCTAAACCTTCTATGTAATATAAGAAACCAAGTAGGGTACTGCGGGTAAAAAAAAAATTAAATTGATTTTTTAAATAATTTTAATATCTTGATATTAAAAATAAAAATATATTTTAAAATGAAAAACATTTTTGAAAAACAACATAAAAAGTAGTTAGTTTCTTACAATGTGTTATTGTGTTATAGGTCATGCCAAAACATTCTCTTGAACAAACATGTAGGTCAAAAACTGGGATTTTATTCTAGTTAACAAATAACAAAAACAAAAACCAATAAGCTTTTACTTTTATTTTTATAATTATCAATTGATTTATTAATAAAACAGTTATTTAGA